CAGAGACGTAATGTGTTATATACGTCTCTGAACAGATGTACATGTCCTTTACCTGTTAACTCAAAAAATACATGAACACAAACTTTAAACCATGAATTTATAACACAGGAAAATCAGCAGAAATCAATAAATTTTGCTTACAACTACAAACTTTTACACAAATTCCAAGTTTTAAGAGGCATAGCACATGTTTTTAAATACCTCTGTTTCTAAGGGATTTTTTTCGAGAATACCCGGAAACAATTAATTTCATGACCTCAGTCCATATGGACACAAACTCAAACACACAATGGACATCAGAGTATTTTCTTTACAGAGGAACAATTTCCCTTTGAATACCATTTATATTTCACGAATGTGGCAGAATTACTTAAACATTGTCACGAGTGCATCAACACGACTTTAACTATTCATTGGAACATATATTTTTCAAGCGTCGAGTAAGTAATATAAAAATTATGTTAAACGGAATCAAAACAAACCATATTCAGTGTATTACATTTTTAAACTTAAAAAAAAAACATATTTCAAACAGCAGGAGTGCTTTTCATGATACCAAAATATCTTTACCTTGTGGGGCGGAACCTCTGTTTATAACATCGAACATCTATGACGTCATCATACTACAAATAATAATAATTGAATACAACATTTAATATAGCAGCCTATCTAGCTAGAATAAGCCACTCTAACGCGTTTACAGTACATATATATATATATAATTTAAACACTCAATACAATATCAAGGAAAATGCCAAGAGAGCTTGTTTCATGATTTTTTAATAAGTTGTTAATTTGTTCATTGTTTTGTACACTGTATTTATTTTGCTCCGACTAAAAGTTGTTGGGTCTACCCTGAAATTGTATGCATATTGAGCAATTTCGTTTCGTTTTTTCTTCTGCAATTAAAATTACACTTTTATTACATGAATGAATCCGGATACTTCATCGGTAAACATGTAATAAATTTATCAAAATTGAATTTAATACAAATACCTTAACTTTATCTTTTATCTTTACTGTATTCATATAATAGTCAAAAAAATCCTTAGTACAACATATGAAAGTTATCCTTCATTTAATAAACAAATCCGGGTATTTCACCGATAAACATGTAATACATTAATTTATACTATATATAAATACAGTACAGCGAAGCTTCTTTTTTTTATCTTAACTGTATCCTAATAAAAGTCAAATCTACTCCCTTAGTGCAACGTGTCAAACTACCTATATCAAACAAAACTCACAATGTCAGCAAACAAACACATACATAACTGTGTGGTTAAGATTTAACACTGAGCCTGATTCAATATTTTTACAAAACGATAATTATTTTTGCTAACCGACACATTTCCCATCTTATATTATTAAAACTTCTAAATAGATTTGTTAAGATTAATTTATAAATTTCACACTGATAAGATATCTAAAACTAGTATTCAATTGGTAGCGTCCCTTTATGTTCATCTGACAATTATTAAATATTTATATTTGTAAACACACGCTCTATATACTCTTATAGGCTGAGTGTCTATATGTACAACAAAGTAAACACCACACAGCTTTCATGTATCATATCATACAATGTTTGCAATTACCCAGAATGTGTGTTTTGCTTACCGGGTTTATCCTACACATCTGTTATTTATGTTTAAAAATCACTCATAAAGAGGGTTTTACTATAGATTAGACCTAACACCCTGGCCGAGTGTCTGCATGTACAACAAAGTATTCTCAACACAACTGTTATTTAATATCAGATGTATTTACAATGCATCCACATCATGTTTACTTATTTCAAAGTTTACCCTACACATATGTATCAAAATAGTGCTTAGAAGGTGGCTAAAATAACCCAGTGTGTGTATTAATTTCAGAGTAGACCCAGCACTTTGCTAGCATCATCGGATGCCGACAATTATAATGTATTGCGACAGGAAACTGTCATTGATCAGGAGTGTTTACTTCTATATCGATCAAGGAATGAACCACTCGACTCGACTCGACAGATGTTTCAGGACGTATCATGTCTTTAATGATTTCCTACTTCTGATGTAAAGGCTAATGGGTACAATTTACGTAGTTGTCAATGATTATTGATTTTTAAAGAAAGGTTGTGAATATAAAGCATGTCTCTTTATTTCTTAAAGACAGCATACAGTTTGTCAGATACATTGTACAAACCACTACAAATATCACAATCACAAATATTACATTACATTTGTACATATCTATAAGTGTCATAGTTCGTCCCACCACCATCAACAATTTCGAAGTACGTTCTTAAGCCTGTTAATTAATCAATCCAAAATAAAAGTGTGAAACCCAAGAGTTATATCTAAACCTGCGAGTTACTTTAGATAAATACTTAATTTGATATCTTTGTTTCTCTAATATTGAAAAGATGCACAAATAATGAAAATGGCAGAACAAACAGCATAATTCTTGAGATTTGAATTGGCGCTTTGTTTTGTATATATTTATAATGTTAGAAGATATCCTAAAAAAATCCTCATAATACGATTTGATTAGAAAAAGATATGTTTAAGTTCATCAGTTTGAAATTGTATGTCTTTGTATATTACAACAGGGTCCTCTTAACTGGAACTCTCCAGGACAAGTTAAAAGTGCTCTCACCCACCCGATCACATTTATTAACGTCGCTTCCTTCAAACCCATGTAATATTTACTTACCGTATCCGGGTTACTGGCTTTTATTGTTTCCTGATTTTACAATCATGTCCCAGTAATGGAGTGCTGGTTGGTAATTATCATTATTTTAGGACAATCGAATGACACATATCTTATATCTTGCCTGGCCCGTACACAACACTCGGCGAAAGACACATTGTTTGGTACCAAGCTTTGAAACGACTCCAGTTGCTGTCCATTTAGTAGGAACAATGCAGACAGTTCATTCGAGATCACTAAATGGACGACACCGTGAAGACAGGATAATTTCGACCCGATCTATGTGTGCAGCAGCAATTTTCATGTTGTTCTTTATAGATATTTCTAGAGGGCAAGATGCTTTTCATGCGTTTCATTCCGAGCCTGTTTTAAATGAGGCGCTGTGTGACATACATGCACTAGAAAACATACCCTCAGTTTCTGTGATAAATTGCATGACCCAGTGCAGTTCCAACGGGCAGTGTTTGTCGTTCTCCTTCTCTAGGAGTGAGCGCCTTTGTTGGCTACACGCCATTCTAGTGTCCGCAAGAGCGACTGGTCAGTCTAGAAAAGGAACGCAGTGCTACAACATGATGCATGGTTTGTATTATTCATTTTGTGTAATGGTTTTAGGCTTGATGCAATACTCAACACTACAGAGTATACTATGTATTTCAAGTTCGCCATGGCTTCATTGCTGACATTTGCTCATGTTGTCCTCTATCAACATAATTGACTGTACTTTAGAATAATTTTGTTCCGTGCACACCTGTTTTTTTATGGCTGATTGGAACTATTTTTGCCAAGACAAAGCCAAATGTACAGATATAGTTATAAAATGAATAAACCTAAGATGTTTTTAAGAATCTGTTCACTAAAGTTATACATTTGTAAATTAATTTATATTATTAGTCACATAATCACTTGCAGGGGGTAAACGGATATATATGGAAAAACCTGTATTGGGCGAGGCGCTTCTATCAACATAATTGACTGTACTTTAGAATAATTTTGTTCCGTGCACACCTGTTTTTTTATGGCTGATTGGAACTATTTTTGCCAAGACAAAGCCAAATGTACAGATATAGTTATAAAATGAATAAACCTAAGATGTTTTTAAGAATCTGTTCACATAAGTTTTACATTTGTAAATTAATTTATATTATTAGTTACATAGTTACTTGCAGGGGTTATACGGAAATATATGGGGTCCGTGAAAAAACCTGTATTGGGCGAGGCGAATTTATCCCGCCGATGACTTTTTATTTATTTCATCAGAAATGTGCCACACTGGTTGCCTTGTACATTTCCCCGTCCGGTTTCCGGAGGTCCATGTAAAAGTGGGACAGCGTCTCATTTAGTACGACTTTGTCGAACTTTTCGAAATTGGATGGTTGCTATTTCTCCGTTAAGTAGGCTTTTAGTGTTGTTGCCGATCTCTTGTTGCTTTTTTGTGTGTTGCGAGAAGATAGATCCGTCCTAATTATCTTGATTTCATCATCGTTTCTTGAAGCAAACCTCGCCGCCACGTCACGATAATGAGGCTCCACAGAGGGGTAATACGGAAAATATACCCCCTGCAGGTAGCATAATACGGGTTTGTATGAGGTTCGCGCCAGCCAATGAAATTGCTACATTTTTGTCAGAGGCGGGATAATATGTATGATTGTGTTTAGTATGGATATGTGGTTCGGTTAATTCACTTTATATATTAATCCTCCATTGGTAATATCCTGTCATCTTCTGACGCACGTCCTTTCTCACACAGTTCAGAAATCCATTTAAATCGATTATTAATATTCTAAATAGTTGACAATAGACAACCCAGACCAGGAATCATTACTAAAGTCATATACAACAGTCTATGAAATACATATTTATCATCCGCTTCATTTTATTATCTTTGTAGATGTGTGTGATGCCAGTTACAGATATATTTATCACCCTCCCTTGAATTTCTGTTTCAAAATGTATAACATTTTCACCGATTACAATGACGCCCAATCCAAGTGTCTGGAAGACAGAGCCTACCTATTGCGGCTTGACAATCTTCCTGTTTTGACCTTTCTACGTTCAAATCTGAGTAAGACCTGTATACAATGATATATGATATTGATTAACTAAAGCATAATATTGTTATTGTTGATAAAAAAAAACTACTATCGTTGTCATGAAAACATAAAAAGTGTTATTTTTGTTTGAATCATTTCTTGTTCTAAATTAAAACTCTTGTGCTGATAGATCATCCCTACCTAAAGCATTTTCAAACTCTTAACACCTATTCCTATCGTAAATGAAGACTGGATTCATATATGAATTTTTAAAAAGTTTTAAAAATAGTGGCATCAATAGAGATGTTAAAATTGGAATAACTACTTTTGGAGAACACTGTATCTCCTTGCATTTCCTAACTTCATATAAATAATGTTCGTATTTGAGCATTTTAGAAGGAAAAGATGTTCGTTTACAATCAGCTAAAATGTTATCATTGTTACATAAGTATTTATACAAAAGTTTTAATTTATGTCAGACTGGAAATGTCGATAATTGCTTTCCATTTTTTTTATTCAGTACATCAACGATATTTCGTTCAGAGTAACTACAACACGGCAGTATCACAGTGGCAGTTTGACGACTGGACACACATCGACATGACCGACTTGCTTAAGCCAATCGCTGTTGACAGTCTTACAGCAAACAGCAGGCTTATTCTGGACAAGTCCTACACTTATCACTGGATACACGAAATTGCGCCATTGGCTCGATTCGTTTGTCAGAAATTCGTTAGGGATCAACTTATCACAGATGTTAGTATTGCTATGATTCAGATTGGTATTCCAAATGTCAACCATTTTGTTAGTTCTACCAATAGTCCGATTAGTACTCCAAGCGTCACACCTTTTGTGAGTACTATCAAGAGTGTGACAGGTACTCCAAATGTCAACCCTTTTGTTAGTTCTACCAATAGTCCGATTGGTACTCCAAGCGTCACACATTTTGTGAGTACTATAAAGAGTGCAACAGGTACTCCAAATGTCAACCCTTTTGTTAGTTCTACCAATAGTCCGATTGGTACTCCAAGCCTCAGACCATTTGCAAAATCTTCAAATCCCCCAGTCGGCATTTCGAACGTCAAGACCGCCGGATAAGTTCCGTAGCAGAAGTCACAACATCTATAAGATCTCCGGATAATAAGACTTCTCTAGCAGACGTCTCAACAATCATAAGACTGCCAGATAATACCACTTATGTAGCTGACGTCACAACATTTATAAGACTGTCAGATAACAACACTTCTGTAGCTGAAGTCACAACAACTATAAGACAGGCAGATAATACCACTGTTGATGCCAACATCAAAACAACTATAAGACAGGCAGATCATGCCACTACTGTAGCTGACGTCACAACATTAATAAGACTGGCAGATAATACCACTGGCTATCACTTCTGTAGCTGACGTCACAGCAACTATACGACAGGCATATCATGCCACTTCTGTAGCTGACGTCACAACAAGTATGAGTCTTGCGGATAATACCACTTCTGTGTCTGACGTCACAATAACTATAAGACCGCCGGGATAATGTTGTTTCTGTGGTAGACGTCACAACAACTATATAACCGCTCGATAATGCAACTTCAGTGGGTAATACCCCAGTCAAATAATGTCAGATGAATATGATCTAGTTTTTATCACCACCGAATCAGTTTTCATTCGTGAGTACAGTTACGTCCCTAATGTCAATGTATGTAGTGCTTTATAGATATCATGTGCTGCAGTGATCATATCACTATAGGTATTATTTATTAAACAGTCAACTCAGTCATCACAGCTGTAACCATCACCATAGATACAGCAGATGTGCAACATTTAAAGCATTTATATTAGCAACATATGTAGAACTTAATTAAACTGTCCACGACCTCGAAAAATGCTTAATTTTATCACAAAATGCACATGCTCTCGGGGAAAATACTCCACTTATCAAACTGCCTATGTCCTTGAAATATTCTTTACTTTGTCAAACTGTACATGCCTTCGGGAAATGCTTTGTCGTCAGAAATGGGTTACTATATTTAACTGTATGCGTCCACGGAAAACGTCTTTCTATGTTAAATTGTCCTCTCCTCTTGAAATATTCTATCGTCATCGAAGTGTGCAGTCCCTCAATAAATACCGTAATTTATCAGACTTTCGTCGCCTTAGAGAAAAACTTCATTTCATCAAACTGTACATACCCTCGGGAGATGCATTGATGTATCGCTACACTCGTCCTCAGGAAACATTCCATTTTATCAAACTGTACATGTACACAATATGAAATATTTTGCTATATTCGACATTCATAATATTCATTATTATACAAACCATTTCATCCTTTGAATTTGGAACGATTGGAATAATATCTAACAACAAATTGTCAAATAAAATATTGAAACATTTGTTTCAGTAAGAACATGTGAAAGTTTTACATCTGTATATATTTAAACTTCATTTAAACTTACAGTATACACCAATCTATCATCGTACCCATATTAAGCGGCTTTGCTGAAAAGAATATAGGTTAATCCTCAAGATATTTCTCTTCTGAAGTTTGTCGGAATAATAAAGGCGATGGAAACATGTGGTCATGAGAAACATGTGGTGGCGTTTTGCTATAGATATCCAGAAATGTATGATTGTTTAAACAATAGACGGGGTTTGACAATACCATGGACAACATAGATGACGAATGCTTGTGGCATTTCAAGTATAATAAAAAGGGTATACAAAATATCGGATAGTTTATACATACATTCTAACGTGAGTTGGTTACAGTATTAAGTGAAGCGGAAATGGAGACACTTCGTTGATATGTAAGTGTACCGTAATACATTAACAATATATTTTATGGATTTTTAAGTCTGGTTTGGCATTAATCTCCTATTTTGATAATAGTTAATTAATCAGTTGATATTCAAATAATGTGAAAGGCCACGGGAATAATACTATATTTACTGTATTTCGGAATGATTTACTAATAAGTATTCTGCCATTCATTTTCATTATGTTTTGTTGAAATCTGTAAATGTATTGTTATTTTAATAAAATAGAAATGGGGAAAACATTGATTTATTTTTATTTAAGTTATTTTTACCTAAGTGTTTATTTTATTTGGAGTAGACAAGTTTTGTGCATTGCTATTCTGTGAAAGTCTGAATTTTGTTAAAGTATCAGAGGTCCTTACAAAATGATTTACATTAACCAAGCGAAATTGTTTATGATAATGACTTAAGTCATAAAGAATCTGTGTTTTTTCGGAATAAGATTCACTAGTTTGGTATGAATAATAAAATCTAAGGGTTTTTTAACACAAATAGAAATTGAAAACTTGTTTAGTCCTTGATTGTGTACAAATCAAACTTACCAACAATGTCTGTGTTAGGGTTTTTTATCATTATTATTTCATTATGACCAAAACTGCGTATAGCACAATTGAAATCATCAGCTAGATTAATAAAAGAAAACACGTGAGACAGAACGTCACCACATCGTCATCAAACAAGGAACAATAGAACCCCCCTGCAGTGAGGGTATGGTAGCAAATTGATTGTCATACCCAAGGCATGCAAACAAAAATAAACATTTATAAATTTTATCAAATCAGGTAATATGATTTTTTTGTTACTATAAAAGCTCACATTTAATGAAATGTTCATTTGTAATGAACTTAATAACATCACGAGGAAATATGGTTTATTAATTGTCATCGTATTGAAACCAAATCTATGGAAAATGAAGGGAATGGTATGAGCGCGTTAGAAAACACAGCACACATATATAAGATAATGAGGACAGTTTAACAGCATTGGTATGGAAATGTTGTAGAATCAAAATCAACTACACTACGTTGGCAGTTCACAATGTATATAACCAATAAATAAACACCAAAAAATGAAGTAATAGGCAATACCTTTATAAATGAGTCAGGCATGCGGATTTCACCTTTCTATTAAAATGCGCTGACGTAGATAGTACTTCTATGAGACTTTAACATTAATTTAGCCAGCGCAGACTTTAAATACCATTCATGACCAAGTTTGTGTAGGAGAATGACCGACATAGTTTAGTAAAATATTGACACACGGAATGTAAAGGTAAGGGTCAAGTCACATGTCGAAGTTGTTTATTAAATGACCAGCTATGGTCACTTCACTGTCCTATTTTTAACACAGAAGGACTGCTATTTGGGAAGAACCTGAGCGTGACGAAGCCAAATGTTTAACTAGAAGACAAGTTCGCCGTACGATTTATTGTCAAACTCACGTGATACAAGACTCGGAACGGGATGCGAGACTTGACTAATGCAGGTATGACGTACTTCAAAAGACAGTTGTTATATGGCATCAGTCATTTGAGAGGATGCTTAAGTCACCAGCGCCCAGGTTTTGTAAGGAAACGGAGCACATATCTAACCTCCCTTGACAGCCCCCAAGCAGTGGACAGGACCTTGTCAACAGATTACGATAGTGCTAAACCATTTAGTGATATCCCAGGACCAACCGGATTGCCATTTATCGGAACTCTTATGCAATATACAGGTATATCCTTCAACTAAACTGGGTGTCATCTATAAGCAATCTGTCGTAAATACAAACATGAAGATCCTTTTGAAATTTGTTTCACGCAGATGGTATGTGACAATTACCTATATATTATGTAACTAATACGCCTGTACGAAATTCAGGTGATGATTCTTTTGATTTCGTAAGGCTGTATATATCTGAACGCCCCTTAAGACATTAGCATTCTGTACACCTATCGTAAGATTAGGCTAGAGTCGAACTAACAGTTAAGTTACGATTTTAAAAATTCTATACAAATATGATTTTACTTCTGCGTTCCATTCAAGGCAGTAATACATATTTTTGTGTTTAAATTATGTTCAGTGGTAAAGTCTATGTTAAAATGTATCAATATTAAAATTATAATTGACAACATTAAAAGTTGCAAATCTTTGTCTATCGTAATAATCTTTCTTACTTTAACATGCCATAATATAACGACAGATCCAGAATACTATACAGCTACCAACGATATACAAAACCCACGTGTTAATCAAGAGCGTTAGTATTATATCATGCAAGCCAAGCCATGTAAGCCAACAGTTTATGATTCCTGCTGCATTTAATTCATATAAATGGATAAACTACTTGATATGAATAAGGATGTTCCTAAGAAATTGTATCTTGTGTGTCATAAGATAGACTGGAAATACCAGAAATAATTGTATGTCAAAGATTTTTATATTAAAATAGCTAGAAATGACATTTTGCAAAAACACAAATAAATGTCATAAATCCTATTTTATTATGGAAAGGTCCTTTTAGAAAGTATGACATAGACAACTACCAAGCAGTGCTGGAGTCTAGATGGAAAGAGTTTGGACCTGTTCTCAGGGAGACCATAGGAAACCGTACGGCTGTCAGGCTGTTCGACCCTGACCATGTCCAGGCTGTCTACCAGCACGAGGGGGTGTGGCCAAATATTGTCCCTATTCTGGAGAGTTCCCGAAAGTACCGTGAATCAAAAGATATGTCTCCTGGACTGGGAAATATGTACGTTTACATAACGTGTGCAATCCGTATACAGTGGCGGATCCAGAGGGGTGTGGGGGTTTTTTTTGGGCGGGGGGGCTTCAAGACACCCCCAACCCCCCAAACCTCAACCCCACCNTCATGTATTTTCACCATTTTCCTCATTTTTTCTCTACATGGAAACCCCCCCCCACCCCCCCCGGGAATTTTGGGGGGAAAACCCAGATAGGTCCCTGGATCCGGCACTGGTATACTTGCGGTGATGCCTGGAAGATTTATTTGTGGTTTTCTTTACAAAATTATAGCATGTTGACCATAGTGAAGACACTTATTTGCATTTGTATTGTACGTCCGTAACATTTTTGGGGAATAAGCCTCGTAACTTAATTTAGGACATTTTCTTGTCATTGCTGCATTTATAACATAATTAATTAATATTATAAAACACAGTTACCAAAGGGGGCTACTAGTTAATAACAGAATAGAACTGGTACCTTCTAATGGAACCCATACCAGGGATGTGAGGTTAGTAATGTACCCAGTCACCCCAATGACATATACTACTGTATACTTTCCGTTAAGAATACGTTACAGTAAACTAACTTCAGCATTATCAATTGTTATGTTCTCCGTAATGTACACGCTACCTTTTATTTTTTATCGATTTTAGATCATGTCTGCTTTAGATGTGTATCGGGCGTCATTTTCATTCATATTTTTTGTTTTCTACCTTAAGCTCAAATTAAACCACAAATTTTGCATTTCTCTATTGTTTGACATGGATACGCTACATGTATATAAATATATATATACAGTATATAGATTAGGGATATTTGTTGTTGTACAGAAACGGTCAGGAGTGGAATACTATGCGGAAAGCCATCCAGACGGTGATGATGCGGCCCCATAATGTAGCTCAGTTCCTTCCGTTTGTGAACGAGGTAGCTGATGACGTCATTGACGAAATATGTATCAGAAAGGATAATGAGGGAAATATCGCTCATTTCAACTATTTGGCGGGAAGATGGAATTTGGAAAGTGAGGCCATTTCTGTCGTCTTTAAAAAAAAAACTAAAAAACACGAGCTTCTATATACCATCACAGGAATGACAAATTACTAGAAATAAATCAGCATGTTTTAGCACCTTGTTATACTGTACCATTTTTTGTTCAGAGAAATGATGGCATAATAAATTGGTTTGGCGAAAAATTAAGGAAATGCACAAAATCATTTTTAAAATGTAAGAAAGGAGGGACCCTGAAATTGGTTGGCGGAAAGCGAGGTGGCAAATAAAACGAGGGGCATCCTATCGAGGTTTTACTCTATTTTACTGTACTTTTCAGTGGAAAGGGGAAATGGGTCTTCAAACCTTTTAACGCACCAAATTGACGAGTCTGGCTACAACAGTGAACCGTGACCATAGCAACTTCTATTGTATTCCTGATATAGGGTCAATATCTAGCTAATAAAGACTACATATACGTCGAAAATACATACTGAACAGAAGAAATAATTTGGTAGTATTTATTTAAAATAAAGTAGACAAAATGGGTCCTGAAGACACTAGAGTAAATTGTCCATGATTATTAGATTGAAAGATAAAGAATATTACATTAATAGAAGATTAAGTGATATTCATTGAACATGACTAACAACATATCTCAACGGAATTTTTTATTTATAGCTCATAAATAAGCTATTTGCATGTGTAAATAGAAAACAAGTTAAGACAAGTTCAGACATACACGTTTTTATTGTGTATTCAATGCGTTTGTCGAGATAACCGAATATATTACTCGTACATGTGTTACATAAGACATGGCTGTCCTTTTTACTACAGCTGCTGGAATGATTTGTTTTGAGAAAAGACTTGGAGCACTGAAAGAGGGATTCGATTCGCATTCGCAGAGAATGATCCAGGCAAACCTAGACATATTTGAATTTTCCACAAAACTTATGTTTGTACTTCCTTGGGATTTCATAACATATAGAAAGCTGTCAAAAAAACATTTCGCAGCAGAGGATTACTTTTACAGGTAGGAATCAGCCTCTGTCGTCTACCAGAGTCTAACAAATATCTTAAAGGACGTACATATTTCAATTTGACCGAAATTGTTTTTCTCATTTTCTTATTTCTAATTTATTCATCAAAATATACGTCACCTGTGTAGTGTACATTTATGGTGAAAAGGAAGTCTTAATGATCGTAGCGATGACGCATTTGTTTTGTACCACCACTTGAAGTCTCAGTCTGGTATTTACTTATTTTCTTTAGTTATTTGTGTTTGTCTAGCAACGACATTGAAAATCAATCATTTTCGACATGCACAGCATTTATATAAATTAAACCCCATTTAAAATTAGAAATTCAAATTTTGTAGCAAATAACGTTTTGGTGAGATATGTACTGAATAGCAATGTTATTTGCTCACAATTGGAGGAAAAACTACATTGTACAACATGCTATTCCGTTCAAAACTTTTTGCACTCTCACGCCTCATTATTCTCGTATTACGAAGCGATGGCAGGAATCTCATAAACACGACAGTATCTCATATCAAGAATCTGGTAGACAATGGAGAACTGGTAGAAGGGAAGTTTGTATTCCTGTCCTACCTGCTGTCCAGTTCTAATCTCAACAACAAAGACCTGATCATCACTGCCCTCACAGTGTTCGCAGATGGACTCAATGCGGTAAGTGTTGTTTATCCTATAGTGATTTATCCTATTTTCCCTTTCTAACTCTTTCTTCATTTATTATCATCACAAATATTTAATGGAAGCCTTCAGAAGCAGTTCTCATCATCACAGAACTTGGTGATTTTTGTTTGTTTGGAGTTTAACGTCCTCAAAACAGCCAGAGTCATATAAGGACGGGTGTCTGGGGAGACACCGCCTGAAACAGAAAGTAGATAAAAAAAAAAGAACGCAAAAGGAAAGATAGGTAACGTTAAAGTTGTTCCAAAGTGTTGCAACTGGGGCAGCAGATGGATCTTCAGATGAAAATAATACATGTATCATTTTCACAATGGTAATAGTTCAAGAAGGTTTAATATAAGTATGCGTGAATTTGATGGATATATTGGACAATAATACTAGAGTATTGAGTTCAGTATAGAAACACTTCGTTATTGTCCAGCAACGGTTATCGTTAGAAAAGAGTTTAGCGATAATGAGGCAGACGTATAAAAACTAGGCCTTATAGAAATTAATGTTAACGTTATAGCAAATGGTACAAAGGCCCCGAGGGCTGATATCGGGACCGAGGGCTGATAAGGGATATGATATCAAAATGGTCATATTATAAACTTTTTATCATATGTTCAAGTAACAAAAAATCAAGTCAACAGGAAAAACAATTAGATAATTTAATCAACAATGTCAACTGAAACAGATTATTACAAGATGATATTCAGTCAATTCTGAATAAATATCCTTTCAAATGGCTGCTTTCAGTAATTATTAGTCCGACTACTACTAAAGTATTCATTGCAGATGAAACGCCATGACTTATTCACTATCCGAGTCCGTTATGTCTTATGACATTCACTCTCCTTTTCTTTCTGTGAGTGCTTGTGTTTTTCATACTTTTGACGAAGTTCTCCGTGTCCTCGTCACAACCGAACCTTGCACTCTTCTCCGCATTTTCCTTATCAATGAGGTCATCCAATTCAAGTATTCTAGACGCTAGAGAATTAAGTATTTCCTCTCCCTGGTTTGTTGACATTTTGTTTGTTGGCGTCTGCTCAACACACTGTCTAAGCAAAAAACCACTGACAGCGCAAATCTCGGAACGCTTCGGGCGCTTCCCATATCCAATACAGAAGTAGAGGTGTTCCGAACAGGGGGTGCATTACGAGAATTGTTATCGCATGGGGGTGCATAACGAGAAACTTATCACACGGGTGACCGGAAGTGGTATCAGGAGTGGTCAGAAGTTATCAAATATGCAAAAACACTCATATTCTGAGTAAACATATGATAAAGAATATTTAATATAGACAGTTATTGTACTTATTAGGAATGTAGGGTGGTTACATAAAACCAAGGACTAAATTAGTGTGTTCTGTATCTTACAGACGGTACCGGCACTTCTACTGGCATTGCACTGCCTCGCAAAGAATCCACAAGCCCAGCAAAAGGCATTTGAGGAAGTACATCAGCATGTTCCTGAAGATGGCTACATAACCCAGGACGTTTTAAACAAGATGCCATATATAAAGGCATGTTTCAAGGAATCCTTTAGGTAAATTGCTATATTCTAATGGTTTGTTTCTGTCCATTCGCTGATATATTATATCATTATATTTTATTATTATATTATATTATATTATATTATTATATTATATTATATTATTATGTTATATTATTATATTATATGAGATCAGCAATTCACTTTTTAATATCAAACACTTGCTTGAATACTGGCTAACATGTGTTGTTGGTAATGGTATTCGTTTGTTTTGGGGGTTTATTTCAATTTTTACTTTCCATTTGAAGTCTCGTGGGATCTCTAGAGAAATAAATGGTTGATATAAATTGTATAGCAATGACTTATGAAGAGAGCCCACGAACTCAATTTTATTCCACTTTTTCCAATATTACATTATGTTAGTACGTTACATTTATTGTATATAGATCCGACATATAGAAAATAAAACTCCAATATTTATTACTATTCTTAGTTGGCATATGGCCTGTATATTACTTCAACTACAACAGTTACATACATTACAATATCCATATACTCTCCCTGCCTCCATTTGTCACTTAACTTACAGGTAACATATTGCAAGTTATTTTATCTTTTTCTTTGGGAATTCCTTTTATAAGTTTCCCCCAATTTACCCAGACAAATAGTAGCAATAGAACGCGGTATGACTGTAAACATAACACTAGTCCTGTGCTATATTTCCTTTGACAGACTGTACCCTTTAAACCTGGACATTAAAAGGATAGTGGATAAGAATATTGCTGTTGGAGGATTCCAGATACCAGCTGGGGTGAGACTGTTTATTTACGTGCCTTGTGGTGGACTAATCCTATCGCACTTTATGTCCTTTCTCACGATGTTCACTGACCATACACAATCGTCGGTGATATAGATTCATTGTTACTTATATATCAGTAGTTATAAAGGTAACGTCTTGGCTGAATAGCTGTCTATACAACCAACATTAATATTTATACATATATATTCACCAAGCATTACAATACCCACGTATACATATCATGAAAACATGTAGGATGCACGGTTGTTCAAATGAATATATACATAAATTTCCATTAGAAGTTTCATTCTTCACATTTGCAGTGATTATTTTACTTCATCAGTCCGTGGCGATGGCCGTTTCCCTGTAGATAGAATTTATTTTGTAACGGTTTACATGACATAATAGTTTGTATAAATTAACTGCTGTATCCAACAATTAGAAATTTGAAACGTTAAAGGGAGTTTTAAAGGTATCTTTTCACGTACGCTATTTGTCAACATATGTTTCGCAACATGTTACACTTAACATTTCCCTCTTTTTATAGCTTCAGTTACACTGATGAGTCATAAATGGGAAAAAATGACGATGCTGTGTAGTAAACAAAATAATCCTTTTTTGGTTACTTTCGGTATTGATATACAAATCCTAAATGTTGCTTTTGTCGGTGTATTTCTTGTGATTATTACATAAATTTAAGGCAAATATATCTTATTATTTATGATACAGATTATCGGAATAAACAGGTATTGCATATGCTGTGCGTGTTCAGTATTGTTTATAGTTTGCATGTATATATACAGCATTTGAGTATCTTATATAGCATTTAAGTATCGTATACAGCTTTTAAGTATAATATACAGCATTTTAGTATCTTATACAGCATTTAAGTATCTTATACAGCATTTAAGTATCGTATACAGCATTTAAGTATCGTATACAGCCTGTAAGTATCGTATACAGCATTTAAGTATCGTATGCAGCCTGTATGTACTTAAACAGCTGAAGCATGCATCTTCAAATATAGTCTACAAAGAAAAGAGAAGTTATTGTCAGATGTTGTTGTTTTGTCCTCATTTCTGGCAGATTTAAGTTTACTCCTTTAATTATGTTGTCAGATTAAGTTTTGTTAAAATAGAGGAACAATTAGAGAACAATAGAAGGACAAGTACTAATGAAAAAAAATGAAAAAAAATATCATCATGCAAATATGCATTTTTAAAACTTTTTTTTAAATTTCCAACAGACCGTCATAGAGATATGTTCCTTCGTACACCAGATGTCTCCTCAGTATTTCGATGATCCAACAGAGTTCCGACCGGAGCGCTGGTTAAGGGGTAGCAGCCATTTCAGAAATCACCATCCCTTCATAGTCATACCCTTTAGTCACGGACCGAGGATGTGCATAGGTACAAATCAATCTTTAGGGCTTTCATAAATAGTCACTGATACAATTTTATATCGGAGGTAACATTTGGCTGATACAATTGCGTTTTATAATTATATTAGGCAAAAGTCAAATCAATGAGTATTCACACTGAACGGGTTTGAATCACTATATTGGTTCTATATGTTTATATGTTACGGGAACACAGCATGATATGTCATTTTCAGTGAGGTCTATTAGTTTTTCTACCAGCAAACTTAATGACTTACAGTATGCCACCAATGGCCAATTCACTATCAAACTTTGTGGAATTTACTTATAGGATAACGATAAAGGTCTCCTTACTGGTGTTTATCTACAGCACATGTACTAGCCTTGTATGTCAATACACTCATACTAAAGCTTATAGTATGTGTGTATTGACAGACGAACCTAGTACCTGTGCCTACAGTATGACAAAACTAGTCACTTTACCAACCAACTATATCACACATGTGATTAGGTTAAATTCATAATTGTATCTTTCCTTATTACTGTGGTAACAGACAAACATCGCCACTTATGGATTCGCTAATCTCAGTTTCGGGCTAAGATTCTGTAACATTTTGTTTCAGAATCTTAACCCTCGACTGAGATAACCCGATCTCGTTACAGGGAATAGATTTTATTACTCCAGAGTCTAGTTTTTTATTTTCAAATATATCATTTACCCATTATAATAACGCAGTTAGTTTTTTCTTCTGGAATGGTTCAACTCTACGCAGAAGCAATGTTGCAGTCGGCACCATGACTGCATTTTAAGCACGATATTGCAGTATCTATTATGATTATCTACAAATGACGTGTTCATTAGTCCTCAGATCGTTATTGAACGACATATTTTATAAAGAAGTTATCATGACAAGTATTGCATTTGGTTTAGGAAGATCTTATCTTTCCGGACTACTTGGTTTGGCTTTGAGTTTATGTTGACTTTCATTTTGTTTATGGAATCTCTTCGGTTTCTATTGTTCTTTTTCTTTGTTCTGCTGTTTCCTAGGTTTCAGTTGTAGTCCTTCCTCTTGTTTTGGTGTAGCTTTCTCCCTGGTTTCCGCTGTGCTCTTACCTTTTGTTTAGGTGTCTCCATGGTTTCAGTCTTTCTTTACCTTTTGCCCTGGTGTCTCCTTTGGTTCTTTTTTATTTTTTATTTCTCCTTGGTTTCTTTCGTTGTATTTCTATTTGTTTTTGGTTCGCTTTATTTTAGTTTGATTTTTGTTATTGTCTACATGGTTCCTGTCGTTCTATTCCTTTTGCTTTGGTATCTCCATGGTTCCTGTAGTTCTTTTCCTTTTGCTTTGGTGTCTCCATGGTTTCTGTCGTTCTTTTCCTTTTGCTTTGGTGTCTACATGGTTCCTGTCGTTCTATTCCTTTTGCTTTGGTGTCTCCGTGGTTTCTGTCGTTCTTTTCCTTTTGCTTTGGTGACTCCATGGTTCCTGTCGTTCTTTTTTTTTGCTTTGGTGTCTCTGTTGGTTCATTTGTTATTGTCTCCGTGGTTCCTGTCGTTCTTTTCCTTTTGTTTTAGTGTCTCCATGGTTTCTGTCGTTCTTTTCCTTTTGTTTTGGCGACGCTGTTGGTTCATTTGTTATGTCTCTGTGGTTCCTGTCGTTCTTTTCCTTTTGTTTTGGTGTCGCCATGGTTTCCGTCGTTCTTTTCCTTTTGCTTTGTTGTCTCTGTTGGTTCATTTGTTATTGTTTTCATGGTTCCTGTCGTTCTTTTCCTTTTGCTTTGTTGTCTCTGTTGGTTCATTTGTTATTGTTTTCATGGTTCCTGTCGTTCTTTTCCTTTTGTTTTGGCGACGCTGTTGGTTAATTTGTTATGTCTCTGTGGTTCCTGTCGTTCTTTTCCTTTTGCTTGGTGTCTCCATGGTTCCTGTCGTTCTTTTCCTTTTGTTTTAGTGTCTCGAAGGTTCCTGTCGTTCTTTTCCTTTTGCTTTGTTGTCTCTGTTGGTTCATTTGTTATTGTCTTCATGGTTCCTGTCGTTCTTTTCCTTTTGCTTTGGTGTCTCCATGGTTCCTGTCGTTCTTTTTCTTTTGTTTTGGTGTCTCTTTTGGTTCATTTGTTATTGTCTCCGTGGTTCCTGTCGTTCTTTTCCTTTTGTTTTAGTGTCTCCAAGGTTCCTGTCGTTCTTTTCCTTTTGTTTTGGTGTCTCTGTTGGTTCATTTGTTATTGTCTCTGTGGTTCCTGTCGTTCTTTTCCTTTTGTTTTGGTGTCTCCATGGTTTCCGTCGTTCTTTTCCTTTTGCTTTGGTGTCTCTGTTGGTTCATTTGTTATTGTCTCTGTGATTCCTGTCGTTCTTTTCCTTTTCTTTTGGTGTCTCCATGGTTCCTGTTGTTCTTTTCCTTTTGCTTTGGTGCCTCTGTTGGTTCATTTGTTATTGTCTCTGTGGTTCCTGTCGTTCTTTTTCTTTTGTTTTGGTGTCTCTGTTGGTTCATTTGTTATTGTCTTCATGGTTCCTGTCGTTCTTTTCCTTTTTCTTTGGTGTCTCCATGGTTCCTGTTGTTCTTTTCCTTTTGCTTTGGTGCCTCTGTTGGTTCATTTGTTATTGTCTTCATGGTTCCTGTCGTTCTTTTCCTTTTGTTTTAGTGTCTCCAAGGTTCCTGTCGTTCTTTTCCTTTTACTTTGGTGTCTCCATGGTTCCTGTTGTTCTTTTCCTTTTGCTTTGGTGGCTCTGTTGGTTCATTTGTTATTGTCTTCATGGTTCCTGTCGTTCTTTTCCTTTTGCTTTTGCGTTTCCATGGTTCCTGTCGTTCTTTTCCTTTTTCTTTGGTGTCTCCATGGTTCCTGTTGTTCTTTTCCTTTTGCTTTGGTGGCTCTGTTGGTTCATTTGTTATTGTCTTCATGGTTCCTGTCGTTCTTTTCCTTTTTCTTTGGTGTCTCCATGGTTCCTGTCGTCCTTTTTCTTTTGCTTTAGTGTCTCCATGGTTCCTGTCGTTCTTTTTCTTTTGTTTTGGTGTCTCCATGGTTCCTGATGTTCTTTTCCTTTTGCTTTGGTGGCTCTGTTGGTTCATTTGTTATTGTCTTCATGGTTCCTGTCGTTCTTTTCCTTTTTCTTTGGTGTCTCCATGGTTCCTGTCATTCTTTTCCTTTTGCTTTGGTGTCTCCATGGTTCCTGTCGTCCTTTTTCTTTTGCTTTAGTGTCTCCATGGTTCCTGTCGTTCTTTTCCTTTTGCTTTGGTGTCTCTGTTGGTTCATTTGTAATGTCCTCTTGGTCCCTGATGTTGTTTTAATTTTAATTTTTTTGTGAATCCTTGTTTGCTGGGTTTTTTCTCTTTCGTTTTGTTCTGGTGTCTCTTTGTTTTTGTATCTCATTGCATTGATCCCCGATTGGGTTTTTTTTCACATTTTTGCTTTGGTGTCTCCTTGGTGTCTCCTTGGTGTCTCATTGGTGTCTCATTGGTGTCTCCTTGGTGTCTCCTTGGTGTATCCTTGGTGTCTCATTGGTGTCTCATTGGTGTCTCCTTGGTGTCTCCTTGGTGTCTCATTGGTGTCTCATTGGTGTCTCCTTGGTGTCTCATTGGTGTATCCTTGGTGTATCCTTGGTGTCTCATTGGTGTCTCATTGGTGTATTCTTGGTGTCTCCTTGGTATCTGTTGTGAGCTGTCCTTTCATTTTAGTATTTCCTTAGTTCCCGTTAGTACCTTTTGTATCGACAAAAAGATTCATATTTTGTTCATACAAGTTTTCTTTACTTGACGAGTTCGTCGAAACAAGACTGACATGATTTTTAACTATGTATATTTTATTTTGAAAGGTCGACGAATAGCGGAACAAGATATGTACGTGATGATGGCTAAGTTGCTGAAAAGGTTCAAGATCACAACTCCAACAGACGAATTGGGCCTAAAATTCCAAATAATTCAGACACTGGACCGACCTATTACGTTCACCTTTGAAGAAAGAACTTAGTTTGATTTTGATGACTCACTCCATGAACATGTACTGAGTTCAGTCGAGTTGAGTTATGACAAGTATCGAGGGTTTAAAATCAATCAAACCTCTCTCCAATGGTTGAAAACGAAGAAACATGAAGACTCACATTTCGTTCGCACTGATATCACGTAGAGAGGATTGAAACGAATTAGTTTCAGCTGTACATATCATTTGTGCAGTACATCTTTAATAAGGGAATGCGTCAATCAATGCTGTGACGTCACTCCAGCAACTTCATTTTTAACAGATTTTGGTCAAAACGTTATACCAAATGTTATGTATGAAAATGCTTCGAATGAGTTCGTATTTCAAAAAAGCAAAGTGTTTTTTTCGTTCTGTTTTACGGCCCATCGACAATTTAGGTCATATAGTGCGAAAGGTCAAGATAAAAGGCACAACTAATTTTCATAGGAATTTGTCAAGAAATGACACTTATTTGCACCGGATCTTGGAGTCTCTTTGTCTTTTTTCAAGATTCCTTGTTGTTATTTATTTTATCACTTACTTAGCATTTTTGTTATGATTCAATTATCTTATAAACGAATTACATATTTGATCAACGGTGTTTAGTCTCAGTGTAGAAAAGCCACCATGAGATTATGATGCCCATTGTACATTCATGTTGTTATTTCATAAGAAAGTTTTGCAAAAGTCGGTATTTATTTATATAGAAATAAAATAAATTTAATGATGTTCTGCGATTTATATTATTTTTAGAAACGTATTGAAATGTATATATGCATACAAGTATACATGTAACAGCAGTGGATGATACGGCGAGGTTTACTCAGAATTGGATAAACCCTCGAATCTGTTTGGACCCCCAGTCTTTATTAATCTCTGAAACCACCACTCACTGAATTGCAACAGATAGATTCAACTCATCATTATGGTAACGCCCTGCTCTGTGGTATATCTGGCAAACGAACTAGAAGAGCTGGTTGATTCACAGAGGCACGCAACTACTATTAATATTAATCTGTATTGGGATATAACGTACCCAGCGACTGAAAGCCTAAAACAAGATCAATATTAACAGTAGCTGCGTGCCCCTATGGTTGATTTGAGGCAATAACTAGACTACAGTTGTCCACCTCGGTCATTTGTGACCCGTAGCATTCTTAGGAGGAAAGCTATAAGGGGTCGTTAAGAAAAAGATCTCTGTTTACACTTTAACTTTAAAATAAAGAAATGTTGTCTGCGTGTTCTCAGTAAAATGTTATTGACAGAAACAACTAAAGTTTAAAAAATATATATATACCGACATAATTAAAATGTTAGGGTTTATTTTACTATTTTTGCATTCGTTTCTTTACATTCTTGTATTTTGGAAATTCAAATATCTTCGTCACAGTTTAACTGGATCATCGATGTCAAAGATCAGACTATATGTATTTATTATTCAGTTGGTTGCATTGCTGTTCGGGAGTTTTACGTCCTCGGAAAACCTATAGGATCATGTGATAGGAACCGTACTAATGGATGATGGGACCCCATGAACACGCCACGTTGGGGTGTCATTTCCCGGAAATCAGGACATTCCGGATCCACCGGTCACAAAAAAAAATGACAATGAAATGTTTCAACGGCTCTGTGCGGGAGGGGGGGCTTTGAACAGCAGCAGACTGATGTACATCTAGTTGAATGTGGCCTAGACTATTTTTTTCATAGACATTGTTCCACAGGGACACGAGATTAAGCAACAGGATGTGTGATGAACCTATGTTATACACTTTGTAGATATATGTCATGATACGCCCACGTGCAGCTCTTCCATTATCTCCAGTCCGTATAAATACAAAATTTCCTCACGGAGCTAGAATCTGAGTCTCTTTGCAGACTTCATATCAAATCAAATCAAATCAAAAGTTTTATTTAACGTCGGTATGGTTTAAAACAATACAACATTAGTTCTAATGAGCTATTAAAACCGACACATAAAAGACATGCACAATAACACAATAAATATTTAGCAAAACATCTTAAAAGACGAGCACCATCTAATAGAGAGGTGACATAAGTAGAGGTAAGCTTTAGCTAAAAACATGTATAAAACTGTATTGTGAGCCTATGTGTTTTGTCTGCATGTGTTGCAATTGCATTTTGGCCCATTCCAGCTGTTTATTAGTGTCTTAAATTGTGTAAGCGTAGTTGTTGTTCTGAAGTGGTCTGGTAGGGCATTCTATATTTTAGGTACTTCAGATCGAAATGAGTGTTTACCATACTTTGTAGTCCTAACATGTGGAATATCTGCTGTGTTGTGATATCTGAATGTGTATGATTTTTCTGTGATGTTGATAAGGTCGTGTAGGTACATTAATATCATATATATTATTATGCTAAAATTATGTATACACATTACTATAGATCAAGGCAAACTAGCTATGAAGTTCTATTTTAGAGAACAAAAATGGAAACAGCTCTTGTTGTAATAGGTTTACTCAGGCATATTTATTGCAAATGAAATATACAAACTTGTGAAGTGTGCTTTTGTGTTTTTATGTCATTTATCAATAAACCTATATCTATATTGAATTGGGCCTAAAATTGATCTCTGAGGTACTCCTTTGTATAGTTCCTGAAAAGTACTTTCCTAATTTCCTAATTTGACATTTTGTTTTCTGTTTTTGAGGTAATTTGACAATAGTTCTGAAGCCGAAATAGAAAGTCCATCATTTTGTAGTTTTAGCAGGAGGTTGCATTGTGAGGCAGACAGTCAAAAGCTTTTGAGAGATCCATAAGTATGCAGCCTACATACTTGTTCTGGTCAAGTGCCATTTTCCAATCCTCTATGACGCAATAATGCTGTCTGACATCGGCCGTATCCAGCTCTGAATGCAGAGAGGTAGGGATGAAAAACACCATCAAAGAAGTCACTGAGTTGGGATTGTATGGATCTACCCTTTTCTTATAATATAATGTCTACTTGTTAAATATTGGTTTTGGCAGCCTTTGTTTGTTATGAATGGTTTTATTGTTTTCCAGAAGTTTTGGTTGTTTTGGCCCTCTGTGCATCTGTCTATAAAGTAGTGTTTTATTGATTGTTTTCTGAGTTTGGTGACTTTGTTTCTCTGTGTTCTATATTTTTCCCAGTTGTGTTTGGTGCGGTTTGAGACGAACTTGTTGTGAAGCATCTTTTTGTGATAGATTTTTTGTCTGAGTTTTTTGTTCATGAAGGGTGCTTAGTTTAATTCTTTGTTTTAATGGGGCGTGTTTGTTTATTATTTCTGTTAGTGTGTTACTGAAATGTTTGTATGCTGTGTTGACATCTGTGTGTTTTACAGTTTCTTCTAATGCTGCATTATGTAGGTCAGTGTGAAAATGTTCAATGTTAAAATCTCTAAAACTTCTATATGTTAACAATGGTTGTTTCCTCACAGATATTTTGCTTTTGAATTGAAAGGATATCAAATTATGTACATCGCTGATACCAGCATTAAAATTACATATATTCCCAGTTAATAATGGTTTGTTGGTTAAAATCACATCAATTAACGTTGGTTCGGTGTTTTTCGGGTGGTAAAATCAAAAATATCACACATATTCTGCAAAGGCTGATCTTTAGGTGTTATTAGGTCATAATTTATGTCCCCGATAACAATCAGATTGTCATATTGGCTTGAATAAAAATGGGCTTGTAGAGAAATGTGGTGTGTGGATTCCCACGCTGTCTTTGCATGGGTTTTGAGAACAGCTCTCAGCTCCCAAAACCAATTAGAATGCGGAGGAAAATCACTCACGTGTTCAAGAGACCGCGCCAAGACACGATGTTGTCATCGCAATCAGCAGTCCCGGGGGAGATAACTGTTCTAAATTTAATTCCTAATGGCATTCGGAATACATCATAAGGCTGGCGCATTCGGTGACTTCGTCCTTTTCCCTTGCATGTTCCCAAGAGGGTCTTGGGTGTCTGAAACGACAGTTATGTGGTAATGCGGGTGTGTCATTGGATAAATTTTAGTTAAGTTAAAAGATAACTTGTTAAAATTTGATACATTTCAGTATGTCTTTCAATCTGAACTCTTCTCCAGACAATTATCACGTTCACGTACCCCCCCCCCCCCTCTAATACTGACGACAGACGTGATCAACGTTGCATAAAACTGATGATTTTCTTCAGATCGAAATCCATATACTTAGTGACTTTGGCTACCAAGTTAACAATGCATAATGCACGTAATGCATTAAAAGTATAAACATGTCGCATACTGAAATGATTAGGTCTCGTGCCCCGCTTATATATAGTTGTAAAAGATGTGGATTAATTAGGTTGCCTTACAAGCGTCAGCTGTAGGGAATTTCCCTTTAGCTTAGCGGTAGAGCATCGGGCTGGAGAGCCAAGGGTCGCGGGTTCGAGCCCCAGCTATCTTTATCACTTTTCATAAACGTTGCATAAAACTGATGATTTTCTTCAGATCGAAATCCAATGCATAATGCACGTAATGCATTAAAAGTATAAACATGTCGCATACTGAAATGATTAGGTCTTGTGCCCCGCTTATATGCAGAGTTATGGTCCCTTGTTCATTATTTATCTAACTCGCCGTTAACTCAACGTTGTCAACGTCATACCATTATTCTACGACTACTACTACTGACGCATCTTACTGGTGTTACTGGGGACACATTCACGGTGAGTCTGCACCTGTACCTCGCGCTGTAGCATGCCGCTGAGGGCTGAACACCAGATTAATCGCTCGACTTTTCCTTATGAACTCTGGTTACTTACATTGTCAAATATTGTATGAGAATATTTGAGAATGTCGGAGCGTAGTCCAATAGATTCTGGTCTGCTGTGCCCCATAAGTATACAGAGTTATGGCTCTTTGTTCATACCAGTAAAGGGTCATCTCTGCACTTGAAGAGTTTGGCACTTACAGATTGAGACACCTCAGCACTTTTTCGGGTCATCTCAGCACTTAATTGTAATTTTTCGTTCACACCATATGTCACTTTGTCTGGTGCATATACTTACATTGTGTCTTGTATAATCAGTCACCACGTTAACTATGGCCAGACTTTTTGTCTGTTTAAAGTGCCTAATGTGATGGCATAGTGTACGGGGTGTGCTGACATCAGTTCTTGTATGTCTTTTTTACAATATTTCGGCTCTTATTTTCCATCAACTTAGTCTCTTTGTTCTGATGCATATTATTTTAACTTCAATTGCCAAAATTTCCTTGCAAGTAACTCTTCCAGGAATTGCAGTCACTCTGACTGACATGTACTGTGTCGCATACTAGAAAAACAGGTGTTGTGCCTCACCATACTTACAATGTTTTGGCCCTTTTGTTGACTTGAATACTGTACTATCAAAGATAGGGCATATATTTTCTTGTAAGTTGGAAACCAGGGCTGTATCCATAAAACCATTAAACTCCTAATTAGTTCTCCTGACATGTGTTAACTATTTGACCGTCAATCTCTCCCAGTCTCCCTGTCACCTTAAATTGCTGAATTTCATAGTGAGTTCCTCTTGCATATTTCAAATCTTTCTCATGCACCTTTACTTAGTTTGTTATGGCCTTTTTTTCATAATTTGTCACGTCCTCATTCACTGTCACCTACACTTGCCAATTTGTAGGTAAATATCTCTGAGGTCTTAGATAGTAAGTGTTGTGCCCCTCTATATATAGTTATGACCCTTTGTTTGCCATTTGTCACTTTGTCCAGAAAAATAGCAGTGTTATAGTGACCTCATGTGTAACTGTGCAATGTTGGTGTGCAGAGTGTGTGTATAGCGCATGTGTGTTGTGTTTGAATGTTAATGTGTTGATATGTAGTGATAGTGTATGTGTTGATGTATATATAGTAGTGGTAATGTGTAGTGGTGTGTAGTGTTTGAGCATGGTGTTGTGAGGTGTTGGTGTGTTAAGTTTTAGTTTATGTGTACGGGTAGTTTAAGTGTGTAGTTGTGAATAGTGTTTGAGTGTGGTGTTTTAAATGTGCTGTTGGTATGTAGTATTGGATAGTGTTTGAATGTGGTGTTGTGTAGTGTTGGTATGTAGTTTAGGATAGTGTTTGAGTGTGGTGTTGGTATGCAGTATTGGATAGTGTTTGAATGTGGAGTTGTGTAGTGTTGGTATGTAGTATAGGATAGGGTTTGAGTGTGGTGTTGGTATGTAGTATTGGATAGTGTTTGAATGTGGTGTTGTGTAGTGTTGGTAGGTAGTATTGGATATATGTAGTGTTTGCGTGTGGCGTGTAGTGGTGAGGTGGTGGAGTGTGGTGTTGTGTAGTACGTGTTGATGTGTAGTTTAAGTGTGTATAAGTGGATAGTGTTTTATTATGGTGTTGTGTGGTGTTGGTGTGAAATTTTAGTCTGTAGTGGTGGATAGTGTTTGAGTGTGGTGTTGTTGTGAACTTTTAGTCTGTAGTGGTGGATAGTGTGACAGTATGGTGTTGTGTGGTGTTGGTGTGTAGCTTTTGTGTGTATTCGTGGATTGTGTTAGACCAATTTGTTGTTGTGTGGTGTTGGTTTGAAGTATGTTTTTGTGTGTAGTCCTGGATAGTGTTACAGTATGGTGTTGTGTAGTGTTGGGGTGTAGCTTGGTGTATAGTTGTGAATAGTGTTAGAGTGTGGTGTTGTGTCGTGTTGGTGTGTAGTTTTAGTGTATAGTGTTGTTGTGTAGTGGTGGGTAGTGTTTGAGTATGGTGTTGTGTGGTGTTGGTGTGTAGTTTTAGTGTGTAGTCGTGGATAGTGTAAGATTATATTGTGTTGTGTGGTGTTGGTGTGTATTGCTGAAAATATTAAACAACGAAAAATTGTATAATTTTAAATGAATAAATCTTTGACAATACGTTTTGTTAGCACTTTCATCTCTTCATAGAGATTCTTCAGACTACAAGGTAATACCTTATTTATGGGCGGATTGGTGGTATGGTGAACACTCCGGCCTTCCACACAGGCGGCCGGGGTTTGATCCCCGAAGTCGTTGTATGCATGGAATATTCAGAAAAAGTGTTTTTCTCCTGCCCACACAACTCCAACAACCCAGGTGGAGTATAAAATGGTCTGGGGTGGATTTTGCAGTATCTGTGCTGTTGCATTCAAGTGAGGTGGCACTATCTATGTACTGTAAAGCGCTTTAGAGTGGCTGATTCTAGCTAGATAGGGTGCTATATCAGAAATTGTATATTATTATTATTATTGATTGCTGCATATTCATATATATATATATTATCAGTTCATCTTTAAGGACTCCTCTACCACTGCCATAAACTTAATTAGTGCTGGAATCAGGGGGGGTTTCGGCATCACTATAGTTTTGATAAATCATTTCTGAAAAGAAAACCGTACCTTGCAGAACTTTTATGATATGCAATAAAGATGAAACAAATTAAACAAAATTTTATCAAGAACAGTGTTCTGAGTGGAAAAAAATAAACGGGGCTTAAGACTGGGAACAGACACTAGATTTCAGATTGTTATACTTATTGTTATACAGATTGTTGCTCCAACCATTTGAGCTATCTGATCATCAGAAGTATCCTGGCCGAACTGTGCTACGGTTATATCCAAACGGAAGTTAAAGGGAGGTTACTGTATATACAAAACAACACAGTGGGTGTGACAAGCATCCTTAAATGCTTGTTTTTCCTTGTACAAATCTACCAGGTGAGCAATTCAGGCACCATGGACCTTGTTGGCTATGATATAAATCAACACAATTGAAAATGATTGTGACTACACACTAATGCCCCTGAGATAATATCTGAATGTAGACTTGAACCACAGGTAGTTTTAAGTGAAGAAGGACTGTGCCAGGTTCTGTAGCTAGGGAGACACAGACAAGTTAGGATGTCACGCTCCACCTCATTATATCAAAGCAGGTGAATCACTCGCATCAGGTGTCCTCCCCACATATATGTATGTAGCCACTCTGGGGTAAAGGAAACATGCATTAATCTAATGTATCCACAGTAAGAGGATAAGACACATCAGGAGCTTTACTAAGCAATATAATTGTGATAGGACTTTTGCAAAAATGGTAAGTAATTTGTATATCTACAATATGTAAGAGAAATGTTTCTAAATAATGTCACTTCATTACGTTGTAAAACTTGGATTGCCACTCGTATAACTGTATACTGGGAGTTAATTAGGTCAATAATGAAAGGTTATCACCGGTAGAATACCCGGTAAAATGGCATGGGTTTCTAGGTCACCTGAGCTTTGCTCAAGTGACCTATTCCAATCACTTTCCGTCCGTCGTCGTCCGTCGTGCGTAAACTTTTTACATTATCAACTTCTTCTCAAGAACCAGTGGATGGAATTTTTTCAAACTTGGTCAGAATCATCCTTGGTAGATGAGGCTACCAAATTGTAAAATTGGGATTCCTACCCTAACCCAAGGGGCCAGGGCGGGGCCCAAAAGGGAAAATTAACCAATATTTCAAAAAATTTCTTCTCCAGACTCAGAGGTATTACAGTCATTTTCTCTGTATGGATGGAAAGATCATCAGGGGCTTTATTTCAATTGTACATTTCAGGACCCCCAAGCTATCCGTTCTCCCTTGGGGAGGGGGTAAAGTTTACTATAGTTTATATAGGGAAACAACACTTTTGGGTATATTTTGACAATTTTCTGTTGGAAATTATTTTTACTTGGTCAGAATCATCTTTGGTGGATGACGGTATCACATTGTAAACTTGGAATTCCTGCCCCATCCCCAGGGGTTAGAGCGGGGCCCCAAAGGGAACATTTACAAATATTTTAAAATTCTTATCCTTTGATGACATGACAAGTATTGTATTTCACTTAGTTTACATGCTGATTTCCACATCACATCTAAACAATAAAATAAAGCTACCAGTACCTATGATATAACTCAGGTGACCGCTAAGGCCCTTGGGCCTCTTGTTACACTTTAGTTTTGAAGGCAATATATATATATGACTCTGTTATAAACTTTAGGAGTATTTATGTTGATTTGTGCCAAAACAATACAAATTCATCATAAAGAAGACTTTCACTATAATTCTTCAAAGTAGCTCCTTCACTTGTACTAGGGCTGTTAGCTGTCACAGGTGAAGGTTGAAAGTAGACATACATTACTGTACTAGCTTGCATAAATATGGTAATAATGTTAAATTCAATAGAACACAAATCCTTGAGGTCATTTGACATGCAATAGGGGCAGGGGGAAAGAGGGAGTTTATCATCTAGACTTATGATTCAAGTTGTCCTAGCTAGGATTGTTTGTGGAGTCTAGATCAAGAGTTTGACCTCGGGGTTAAGTTGTTCGGTTGTCCTAGGGTTTCTAGTGGAATCCTGATCCAGGACCTGACCTCAAAGTGGGGATTGTCTAGGATTCTAGTAGTGTCTTGAAAAGGATTCAGACCTCATGGTTGGGGTTATCCAAGGGTTATAGTTGAAGCATCATCTGGAGTCTGACCTCAGGATAGGGTTGCCGTCCTTAGTTTTAGACCTCAGGGTGGGGGTTGTCATCTGCAGTGAACTTCATTTAGCTGAATTAGAGATTTTTGATTGTATAGTGATCGATCTAAACATTTCCTTCCTATTAAATCCAGAATTACTTTAAAACTATTTCCTTGTAGATATAGTGACCTTATTATAGGCCGAGTGTATATGTACCTGTGAGATTTTACCTGTGACATCTATATAACCCGATACACACATTTACTACGTGACAGTCTTCAGGTGTAACATACCTGGGTACACTGGTCGGATATCTACTGTCTACACACTAGCTCCCAGGCCTGGTCCGGTATCAGCATTGTTGATTTGATGACTGTCCCGTACATAGGTGGGTTTATAATGGTCATACAATATGCCGGCATACACACGTACATACAGCCATCTGGTTTATTTCCATCATTCCTTGTTTACTCCTGAATGTTTGTATGCATGTTGAATGTATAATTTGGCAAAACATTTCAGCTTATTTACAATAATAGAGACCAGGGCCTGTGTGGATATACACTAATGGCTATGTAACAGTATAATTGCCATGCAGTAATTATGTAGTAGCCAAAGCTTGTACAGCTGTGATTTTCAACCATGTACTTGTTTACAGGGGCCTTAATATATGTCTGTGCCTTATGACTTCCGGAAAATATCACGCACTAAAAACCAAGATGATTTTTGCATTGAGTTTTGGAAAATACATGTAAGCAGAGATTATCCAGGGGAAGGGGGCCTCGTAACAGCCTCAAGAAGCACCTTAAAATACCATTGTACATGTAATAATGAGAAGGTATAAACAGATACATTATATCATTTGGTATATGTGGTAAATAAGAAATTAAATATAGCCTGGTACATATGGTAAAAGAGGAATTATACAGACATAGCATGTATATTATAAAGTTGTTGATATATTGGATGCAATTATATAAAGCTGGTGGTTATGTAAGAGATCTTGAGTGGCCAGGTATTTGCAACTAGTTCAGGTTGCAGGACAGCAGCTATAATGTTAAATAGTGAAGCTAGGTACCTGGTAAATATGAACTATGTGGTGATCATGAAGGAAAATTTTAATAAACATGGTTTAAAACAGTATACCAGGAGTTATCAATTATGAAGGAAAACTCCAACTTGCTGGTCCCCAAAAACACTATTTTTTATAAATTTTACAGGAGTCAAACAACTACGAGATGAAGAATCAGGTAGTACACACAGAATTCGTAGACACAGGGTACGGTAAGAACTATGTCAAGTTGCTTCAGCTAAGACGAGAGGGCGATGCCCACCACATTCAGGAGCTGGAGGTTAGCGTAGAACTCACCCTCAATAACCAGCGAGAATATCTTTATGGAGACAACACCGACATCATCGCCACCGATTCACAGAAAAACACCGTCTACATTCTTGCCAGAAAATTTGGGGTATGTTTAGTGCAATTGAACCGGCACTTAATATTATATCGGATATTAGGATAACTCGATTAACTCTTTCACCCCTGAAGACACATTTGAACTCTTCCAATTCAAAGATTGGAATAGTTCATTATAAAATTTCAGGGGTGAAAGAGTTAATATTTTTTTTCCATGTACCAATTTTTCTCTATGCAAACTAAGTAAAAAAAAGTAAAGTATGCATGATATCCCGCTTATCATAATATATTTTTTCTGTCATAAATGGATTTTTATAAGCTAAAAATTTGCACAACTATGGTCAAGAAAATTATATACTGTACAGCATGGCGAGGATATAGATGGGGGAGTAGCCTTAGTAAATACACTTCACTGTAAATACATAAAAGTGGGGGGGGGGGGGGGGGGGGGGAGGAGGTGTGCATGTAGCTAGGTTTCACTATAAATATATAAAATGGTTGGGAGGGTTAATTTTACTGTAAATATTATATATACAAAGGTTGAAGTTGATGTTTCATATATCTCGGAAGATTCTGTGAAAATGAAACAGAAAATGTACACACATGGGCAAGGGAGGAAGATTGGTGTCTGTATATCAGTAGTGTATACACAGAAATGGGGGGGAGGGGGGGGTGTATTTGTATTCCAATAGGTGTCACTGTAACTAAACCCATATTAAGCAACTGAGTGGGCCAAACACAACAACATGTATGAATCTCAGTGGGTGCCAAAGAAAATGTATGCAGAAGTCAGTCAGTCACTTTGTATTATTAATATAAATTAAATAGTACCATACCATTGTTTAACCACATAGTTTTCTGTCACTCCACAGGTGAAGACCCCAGAACAGTTTGCACTACTCCTGTGTAACCACTTCCTCACAAAGTACAGTCATGTGGACAAGGCAAAAGTCTACATTGAACAGGCTCCTTGGAAAAGGATGGAAATCGTAAGTATTTAACATGATCTTTGGGGGGGGGGGGGGAAGATGTTGATAAGGATCCCCGTAATCCTGCCAAAAAATGAAAATATGCTTCGAAACAATTCGCTTTGATTAATCATTTTTGAAAAGAAAAGTATACCTTGCAGGACTTCTAGGAAAAAATAATGAAGGTGAAATAAATAAAATTGGACTTGAGATTGTTATATCATGGCTGAAAGTGATTGAGATGCCTGGACAAGGGAAGTGTACAAGCCCAATGTGCTACATATGCAGTTATATCCAAATGGAAGTTAAGGGGAGATAACTGTATATAGGAAAAACAGTAGTGCAGTGGGATAGAGATCCTTAATCAGGCTTGTATTGAGTTCAAGTCTGATGTATATTTATTTATGAAGAGTAAGTTAAGGCTTAAATTGACAGATATCCATTTAGTTTTTTGATGTGTTTAACCTCAGGTTAGATTTATCAGATATCTGATCTATATTAAGGTACATCTGAATGGTATGTGTTTCACTTTAGTTCATGTTTGACAGTTATATCCCGATTCATGAAGTTTGTGGGTTGAACTTAACTTCAAGTTTGATATATATATCCATTAACACTACCTGGTACTATATAATGAAGTAAGATCATGAAATGCTTGACATGAGGTGTATCCCAAGATGACATTGTAACAGAATAAACATACACTGTATATGTTATTTTTTGTTTTCCCACAGGATGGGGATAAACATGTCCACGCATTTCTGATCAGCGATGAAGCCACACGGTTCTGTGACTGTGTACAGGCCAGAGGAGGTATGCTACGTCCTGGATCTGTATACAGCCAACATGATCCCTTAGTACACAATTCAGTCACTTTATCTCAAACAGCAAATCTGAAGCGGAAAACATAATTCAGTTTAAGAATTCGCACTAGATATTTGATACTAAAGGACAATTTTAAAGACTGAAATTCAACTTATCATTCCATAGATATATACCTAACTCATTAAGTGATCAGTTGTACTTGAAGCATAAACCTTGAAAGTTTTAGCTCGATGATGTGCATTTTGTATGTGACATCGAATAGAGTCCAATGGCCTCTACAAATAAAGGAGACAGCATTTAATTAGAATTGAAATAAAATTAAAGACAGCATAAGCAACATGAAGCTTATAAATTAATTCATTCATCCCTGAATTTCATAATGAACTATTCCAACCTTTCAATTTGAAGAGTTCAAATGTGACTTCAGGGGTGAATGAGTTAATAATAACTTACATTTTGTATAACATATTAACTGATTATGAGTGCCAATGTTTTGATGTATTTTGTATCTTCAGGCAAACCTTTGGTGTCTGCTGGCCTGAAAAAGATGAAGATTCTGAAAACAACACAGTCAGCCTTTACAGGGTTTGTGAAGGACGAGTTCCGGACACTGCCTGATGCTAATGACCGATTGTTCTGTACCGTGGTCGATTCCAAATGGTGGTACAACACTGTGGACCATGTCAACTTTGACAAAGTATGGTAAGCTTCCGACTGTCGCAGCAATATCAGGGTTTAATGTAGGACTATGTCAACTTTGACAAAGTATCGTAAGATTCAGACTGTCACAACACGATCAGGGTGTATTACTGGTCTATGTCAACTTTTACAAAGTATGATAAGCTTTCGACTGTCACAACACGATCAGGGTGTAATACTGGTCCATCTCAACTTTTACAAAGTATGATAAGCTTTCGACTGTCACAACACGATCAGAGTGTATTACTGGTCCATCTCAACTTTGACAAAGTATGGTAAGCTTCAGACTGTCGCAACACGATCAGAGTGTATTATTGGTCCATCTCAACTTTGACAAAGTATCTTAAGCTTCCGACTGTCATATAGCATAGTGATGGTGTATTTTTTGCCAGCAGATGCCTATCATGATCATGAGAACTCCTTTTAACTGTTAAATTTTTCGTTTTCTCCTTTTGCTGTTAAACAATGAGTTACAGTATATAGATTTTAAGATACTATATGAGAGCATGGAGGCCTTGACAGAAGCCTAATATGAAGTAAGTTAAATATGTGAATTCCAATAATAGAGTAGCCAGTCTCCTTCTCTCATCAGGAATTAGGAAAGTAGATGATTAGGTCTTGGTGTTTTTATATCAAATTCCAAATATTAAATCCTAAAATGTTCAGAGAAACCCATGTCCAATCTGACACCCTGCGAGATTCAACAAATTTGTTGGATTAGACAGTTTCAAAATACTGAGGGGTCAGATTAGACAGGTTCCTTCGAACTCCAGAATATTTGTTGACAGGGACACAGTGAAGCAGGTGATACTGGAGACATTTGCCGGCCCAGCACATGAGGGTGTGTTCTCTCCCTCCGTACAGAATACTCTCTTCATCACAGAGAAACATGTACTGGCTGGAGTTCCTCAGGTACAGCATGTTAACATCATAATCTGTCAACAATGTGTTAGCTTTGTCAACATAATTCAACCATGTTTACAGTATGTCAGCATTGTAATCTGTCAGCAGTGTATTAACTTTGTCAACACAGGTATGTTAACATCATAATCTGTCAACATTGTGTTAGCTTTGTCAAAATTGTAATCTGTCAACAGTGTGTCAACAATGTTAACATAATTTTTTGACATCATAATTCAACCATGTTTACAGTATGTCAGCATTGTAGCATTGCAAAATGCCAACAATACAGTCAACGTGTAGACATAAACTTGTTAGTTTGGTAATGTTGGTGTATATCAACAATGTTAACAAGATTATTCAACAACAGTGTGTCAGTATTGTAGCATTGCAGTATGTCAACGATGTCAACACCATTATTTGCCAAAACATCAATTTATTAAAGTGTGCTATCAATATGTCAGTATTGAAATATGTCAACAGTGTTTCCATTTTAGCATTGCAGTACACCAACAGTACAGTCGACTTGTTAACATTAATTTGTCAGTATTGTAATGTTTGTGTATGTCAACAATACAATTGGCCAAAGATGTCAAAGGTTTTGACTAGCACTGATGGAACCACTGGGGACAAATATAGCATCACAAAAACAATATAGTATGTCAGTATCAACTTTGTAACAGGTATGACAGAACAGGCGTGTCATCTTTTTATATCTCAGTTCGTTATATATTCCGTCTTTGCGTATTGCAGAGGTATCTTCTCTTGTGAGCAGGTATTGATTGTTACGTCATGGGTTTGTGTGAGAAAATTACGTCGTTTTCTCCAAAATTGATGACGTTACTCTCACAAACCAGTGACGCAACAAGCAATACCTGCTCACAAGAAAAGATAACTCTGTAATACACAAAGACGGAATAGGCAGCATTGTGATAACAGTTTCCTTACTGTCCTCGTCAGATAGAGAAGATGGAGATGGAGCTCCCCAATGTCCACTACTTTGGTGTCGACTTCACTCGATTCCCAAAGATCAACTTTGAAAATAATACAAATGAAGTAAGTTTGTATGTGTTCAAAGTCCTCACACATGCCTCTTGTCTACCATACCTTTACACCTAGAGCCCACATACAGCACTGCACAGATGACTGTTCATGGACTTAATTTTGGGGTGAAAATGTCGCAGGTCAAGGTATCAGTTATCATTTTTGTTTGTAAAAAAACTTCCAGATTTTATACTGCTGTTAAGGGGTGAAATTTCAACTTACTCAAAACCATGCCATAAGCTTACCAAATAACTGCCGGTGACTACTGTCCATTTTTCTCTCTGGTGGTGGCTGGTGTGGCTACATCACTCAAAGGAGTGACCCAACTTTGCAGGAGCCAGCCATAGATGGGAGGCAGATGGTTCCTCCTGCCACCCCTGTTCAGGTTTTTGGAGTGTACACTAGTACTGATATATAAATGGCTTCTTTGTACCTTAATCCTTTTCCTTGTCAAGGAAGGAAAGTCATAGTCAATCAATCTTGCAGTCAGCCTCAGGGGCATTATCAGCCTCAGCAGAAAGAATTCAAGTTCACAGTTCTCTGTCCTGTGCCTCGCAGTAATCTTTGTTTCGGGTGCCGAGAAACCTTTTAGATTCCCCTATCTAGGATGACTAGCAGGTGGCACATGAGATCCTGTAGATCTCTAGATTACAGTTCAATTCTAAAATAGAAGCATAGACACCATGGTCTTTTAAGTATTTAATTCTGCTGTGATATATTACGATTCCCATTATTTATGTCAGTACTATGTTGTCTTTAAACTCATTCACCCCTGAAATTTCATAATGAACTATTCCAACCTTTGAATCGGAAAAGTTCAAATGTGTCTTTAGGGGTGACTGAGTTAATAGAAGAAACACTGTTGAAGTTGAAATGCTCTGTTTTCCAGATCTACATGCCGACTGACAAACCATCAGGAAACATCCGTGCTGCCATAGAGAGGAAACACATGTCAAAGCTGTAAAGATGAACAATGGCCGATAGTTGTTTATAATGCATAGCTAACGTCTTCTGAGGATAGTTAAATCATGATGTTGTTGAGAATCTGGACATTATTTCATCCTAAAATAACACTGTGAAACTATACCTGGTTATAACCTCAACAGATAGACATAAAGGTTTCATAAAGGTTTCAGTACATTAAATTTTCTTATTGTACGCGACATCAAATTGAATTCCAATGGAGCAGGACAACATGAAAGGATAAAATTGTGTGAATGATTACTAACAGTGCTATAAACGATCCTTTTAAGACAAAAATTAACAAAAGTTGAAAAGTAGCATACACATTTGTATGTCATTAATCAGGACTCAAGTTATATACAAAATATCAGAATAAAGAAAACCTGACAATATGTCAATCATGACTTATATCTGGTCACATTTTACTGTATTGCTTTCAGATTTGTAAGGAACATGTTGAGGAATGGTCATTTGATAAAATATATGTTTGTTGAATCAGTACATGCGAGTCCTTATAGCAGGTTTTCCAGATCAATGGAGCCCAGATTGACAAGGTTTGACAGTACAAACTAAATACAAAACAAATTTTAATATGGGTTGGGATAAAAGGTTATATTTAAATTTCAGTTTTATGTTTCATTGGCTGTGATTGGTTAGGTCAGGGCTAATTTTGATAACAAGACAGGTAATTCTTGAATCGCTGCCAAAAAATTACTGCAAAAAACTATGCCTATGCGAATAGCTATGATATCCTCTCCCCCATTAGTATAGCAGTGGTGCCCGCTCCTTCTATGGGTAGTGTTGTGGTGACCCCTGTCCCTTTAGTATAAATGTAGAAATGATGCCCCAACCCTTTGGGGCATATAACTGGTTCCCCCTTTCCCCCAGTGGTAAAGCAGTGGTGCTCCTCCCACTTTGGGTAAAGAAATGGTGCCCTCTCATTTTGTAAGAATAGTGCTCACTGCCCCTGATATGGATATTTACAGCAGTGCTTCCCCCCCCCCACCCCACCCTATTTGTTTAACATTCAGATGCCCATTTTCCTATGGATATAGCAGTGGGGCCCAATGGGAAATGGGAGCAACTATATAAAAGACTTCTCCTTGAGGTTGATGAATCTATAAAACTATGCATTGTATACGTATACATAATATATTCATACTGCTGATGTTTTGAACTTGTTTCATATATTCATTCTCAGCTGGTGTTTAATTTATTTAATCAGAAAAATATATATATATGATCCAGATGAACTGTTCAAGCCCATGGACTTCTAGTCTGTTGAATCAAGTAATCAAAATGAAGATGTCAGTGTTTTGAATATGTTGACCTCTATACACAATTTTAAGCAACAAGTCTTGACCCCATACACATCGTCAATAGTAAGTCTAGACCCCTGCACAGCTGTCAATTTATTGTTGACCTCTGTGCACTGCACTTACACTGTAAAATCATTGATTTGCAGAGACTACTTACAAGAGGGGGCTGCAGTATTAAAATAGATATCTGTAAACAGTATTCACTGTTAGCACTTTGTTTACTCTGCAATACATGTATACTCACCATCAAGTTACTTATACACAGCTATACAGTGTTCTAAAGTCAAGATATCTGCTCTGTACAATTTCTACTGATGATTAAATTGTTATATTCTAGATGTGAAACAGATATTTGCTCACAATCACCAAAATTGTTCATAATCTCAAAACATGATGACTTGATGAAAGGTGCTTTATTATAAGAAATCCATGTAATTATGCAGTTATTCTATTTAGTTATACAGTATATTGTTAAGTCTACATATTGTGTATGCTCATTAATATTGGAAAAAGTATATAATAAAGTTGAGTTTCATATTTTAGTTTTCTCATATTTCAACACATCAAATGCAGCTGTACCTGTAAATCAGTATGCCTGTGTAACAGGAAAGAGAGTCGTATGCTTACAACGGGGATTGAATCAGCGACACCGACCTCCCCGTCTGCTGCTCAATGGATTGAGTTCAAGGGAAATTCCCTCTAGTGTGAAGCTAGAAGGTGACAATAATCATTATGTACAATTGAAACCTGCCACACCTGTAACAGGAAAGTGAAAATGCAGTCAGACGGAATGATAACCCTTGTCCTACGAGCTCTTTAGATGGACGCATCACAGATTGAGCCCGACCAGCGAACGACCCAGTCCAGTTCTGCGACATTCTTCCCCCACAATGTCTATGTATCTTATTGCTCCACTTATTACTGAAAAATTTCATTATTACAAAAACCATACCCTTAATCTCAAGTGATATTATTGCATATCAAAAACAAAGACTTTTCTTGCCTAAAATAATTTTATTCAAATTGATGGAATGAAATAGATGTGTTACAATGAAATATTATGAACTTTATCCACTTGTTTGCACAAGTATTGGGGATATTTTCCGGTAGTATGCAGGGCACATCTGCCTGTCCATCAATCAAGCTTTAGTTTCTCTGCAATATTCCCCTAAAATGAACCTGATTTCAATCAACTTTCATATGCACATATCTAGAGGCAAGTCTCGGGCTTTGATCACCAATGTGATGTGTGGATATTTTCATGTAATGATAGAAGTGGTTTGAAGTATACCTTGGTATGTGATGTTTCGAAACATTTTGCAAAATTCTTAATACTCAAATCTGTTTAAAGGAGCTACATCTAAATAATATGTGTAGGTTTTCTCAGAATAGCACATGACTGAGAACACTTTTTAACTGGCATTTTTTAAATTTGTAAATTGTATGAACAATACAGATTTTAAGTATAAGGTCATGAATTTTTCTTAAATGTGCTATATTCTGCACAGAGATCCTGCTGACAACTCATTATAAGCTAGTACATTATGTAGTTTAAACCATAACCATAAACCAAACAAATCCTTAAAATGATAGAAAACAATATATTACATAAAACACTGATTAATCCGGGGATCCTCATTACATGATTGCATTCATGCAGGGCATTTCCTACTAATACTCAATACAAGACATTGGAATGTGCTAATGTGCTGACCAATAAACATAACTAAAATCACTTGCATCATATAATTAATCAATTCATACAACTTAATTATTATTAAGTATGGCTCATATCTGGTCCTTTTTACATGATACTATGCCAAACAAAAATGTCTGGACTTTTCATCAAGGTTGACAAATAAGCCTGTCTTATCGTATACACAACTTGAATGGATCCTTGGACCCTACAAAGTACTACATGAAGAAATCTTGACATGGAGAACCAAACAATATTCCAAGCATAATCTCAATGAAGGTTTAGAACTACAGACCAAAATGTGTTCCAATGTATATCTGTTGTGGCTATTCCAGAATATATTGGCAGGCACTTTCTCTAATAATGACGGGTGGCGGGGATCATCTCAAAGTCCTTTTGCACATACATAAAGTACAGTTACCAAATGTAAAGAAATAGGTGTTGAGGTATCTGTAAAAGTGTCTCCCACATGCATTTATATAGGGAAAGTCCCTAATATAACTGGGGTACATTCGCGTATCCGGCTGAAACGGTTGAACCTGTAAAGAAAATGACAGATACAGATCTGGACCAAGCTGACCTCAGGAAAATTTGGTACGTGTAGATTGAGGGGTCCAGACGTACCTGACCAAAACTAAAATGCTGACTATTGTCTGTTTGCGTTATTTCTTTCTAAAACAATGTCAAGCCGCATGCAGTTTTTAAGATACGTTGTGTAATTCAGTGGACACCTGAGAGAAGGGCATAATATTCTTGATAGATTGCTTTTTATTCTCCGAAACTGTGCATTTTCAGCTCTGCTTATAGAACGATCCAAGTGCGTTCGTTTATCGTGGAAAATTTCTGCGCCACACGTACCGTTTCAACCGGTATACGCGAATGTAGCCCTGGTATAATAAGTACAAAATTCAGCATTCCTCAATTACTATAGGGTCCGGCATACATTAATAAACCTCTACAGAAACATGTCTCCTGATGTGTAGCTACATTTGGCTGAGTACACTGCAGCTGTCTTGAACAAAGTACAGTTTTACCACCACAATGTCCATGGGCCCCAACCTAGGCATTATTGCACATCAACATGTACATGTGTATTGTTTTGTACATGACACTTTATATTTTCCATATAGTTCTGTCCATAAATAACAAGTGCTCCTGGGAACATAAACAAAATAAAATCTGACTTCCACTAGTGGGGTGGGCCTGAAGACGGCGAGTCCAGTAATGTTTTTCTCCGTGCTGTTTCTTTGGAAACATTGTTGTACAGTTTGGTCAGTCTTTCCTGAAACAAGAAACAAAATACAGTCAAATGTAGTGATTTTTTTTAAATATACCTATATTTATTTGACACATTATGAAGTACCAAGCATACTTGGTTCTTAGAATTCTGATGGTGTGTTTGGGAGGGGGGCTTAAAATACATTTTGTGGAAATGATTCATGTTGTTGCTTTTAGCCTCATTATATTGGGTGGGGGAATGGAAATTAACACTTGGAAAAACAAACATTATAACAAAAACAAACAATATAACTGATGTCCCAATATGAAATGATTATTCCACTTGTTTTGTGGTGGCATAGTGGCGTTTTATGTACGTCCATGTACCTTAAGTGAACAAGAGTACAGCAGGTTGGAACAATATATGCCAGTCCAATGCCAATCTGACATACTTCAAATACTTCTGATGCATTTCATCAAAACAATGGAAATTAAACCAAAGTGTGGATGGACAGACACTCCCTATACCAGTGAATGGACAGACACTCCCTATACCAGTGAATGGACAGACACTCCCTATACCATAATACATCCTATCAAAATTCTTGACGGGTGTATGAAAAGCCTTCATCCATATGTGTAGTGTAATAGTTTTCCAAAAAATAACAATTATGATTCCATAAAATTTTAAGAATTCTTCAAAACAAGAATAATATAAATCAGTTTTATAAATTATGTCATTTTCAATTCAAAACCCTCCTTATTTAATTTTAAACCCATAATACAATATTCAGTATAAGGTGACAGTACCCAAATCGGATCACCAAACCATCATTTTATTATACAATTGAAAAAATCTGAAGAGGAATTATACTCATTTATGGTTGTATCAAAGGAAGAATATCAATGGGTGTTCTTACAAACGAAATTAACACCTGGAGCTCACTTATATTTATAGAGCGCTCTGAAGTCACCAATCAGCGTCTCCAGTTTCTGCGAATGTCGGGACCAAAATCGGATCGAGGCTTGAATTTTGCAGTGTGTTATGTACGCTTCAAATGAATACTTTTTTTGTGCGCATATTAACATTTTATGATGACCTTTAGAATTTATATGACAAAAAGTATTTCTATAGTGAGATTTATTCCTATAGTCCAAAACAGAATGCATAGTCGTTGCACTCGCAATTTTTAAAAAACGTGATCAAAACACTGACATTTGAGTTTGAATTACGTTTTCTTGTGTTAATTGAACTTAAAAACTAATCATCTGTAGACAACAAATGGTGCATAGCTATCTATTCTAAGACTACATCATTGCTATAACTGATTTGTTAACACATTTATTTATAAGGATTTTTGCAAAAAGTGATCCGATTTGGGTACTGCCTCCTTATAGTCTAAGATATGTATAATTCTTGATGTTACCTGTACATTTTGTAGAATGTTATTGACTAACATAACACGTCTGCGAGAATTGTTTAATTTCTTGACGTAGGGTTCCAGATCCACTGGCACTGCCTGTTGTTCTGCTATCTTCTTCAAGTCTAAAATCCAATTAATAGGAACATTAATTTTGATCTTGATCTTAAAAGAAGTGAAGTTACAAAGATTCACTGATCGACTGACATATAACTTGTATTTTTGTCTTTTGTATATATATATAGCTGGGTCAAAGTATTATTCAAAGGTGTACAACTTCGGAGTGTTGACTGCATCTGTCAGTGAAGTTTGAGGAAATTTGACTGAAAACTGTAGGAGTTGTGCGGACAAGTTTGTGTTGCCTTTAACTTTCATAAAAAGGGACATAACCTCTGAAATGGCCATATCGAAATATTAATCAGGTGCACTTGACAAAGTGAAACTGGCACTTTGTGATCAAGTGAGCATATATTCAATACAGGCACTTTTCATGCATACAGGTCTGACAAACTTGTCAAATTTAAAGTTACATGTATGTAAGTTTCACTGGATATAAATTAAATCTAACTCACCGTCGGCTAGACAATCAATCTGTTGCCGCAGCTCCACCTGGCTATCCCTGTAAATTTAACAGACAATTCAAATCATGTGTGTATATTACCATATTTAAATTTGTAGCAAAGCTTTTCATATCTAAGTAACTGGTTGACACATGATGTTTCAATGACAATGTATAACCGGCTGATGTTTATGTGACGTGGAAATAAATGTGACTTTGTTTTCATTACCTAATGCATGTACTTTCTAAAAGTGAAATACAATGAGATCTTGATATCATGGCAATGACTGTCAGGATTTATTATTGACAGTAATTAAGTGTGGCAGGGTTCAATTGTACATAGGATTAAGGTCGTCCTCTAGCTTGTTAATTTCCCTTCTTCTTCCGTTTACGGGAAAGACTCCGGTGGCGGAGTGTGAAATATCCCGGAACTGTGGCGCTATGTACATGAAAATGGAGGTCGCAAATTATAAAATATTTGCCACAGTCCAACCGTTAAAATAACATTAGTTGTAGCTTATGTTAAACATATTCACAATATGTACAGTGGCTTAATTACAATTATATTTAATTAGCCAGACAGGATCCTCCAAATGTTAAGGTGGAGATACCACCTTTGAAGGATTCTAGGGAGGGTCACGTGCAAATTGCCTCAGGAAGATCATTCCAAGCTGCAATAGTGCTTGGGAAAAAAGAAGACTTAAAATAGTCTTTACTTGTATATATATGCCGAAACTTATGTTGGCCTCTAGTACGCCTGTCAGACTGTGTCAGGACGCCATTAGTCACTTCAACCAACCCCCCATTAATCTTATAAATTAGAACAAGCTTTTAGCTTAGTGGTAGAGCGTCCAACTAGCTAGGAACCTGGAGATCGAGGGTTCGATCCCCGGTGAAAGTACACTATTCTCTTTCCTGTTACAAAAGTAAACAGGAGATCCGCCCACTCGGCGTTCTTGCCATCATTACGTCACATACCTGACAGTTTTGACCCTGTCGTCTATTTCCTCTACTGCTGGCTTCAGGAGCTCCACCAGCCCATCGGCGACAGCGTCCCGCGTTCGGCTATCCAGCGAGTCTGTGCTACCGTCTGCACTAGACGTAGACGGCGTTATTGAAGGGTTGTCGGCCATATTTAAAACGTCTGTGTTATTGTAACGCTTTAACAGTAACCGTCCGTTTCACAACATTTTCCAGACCCAGAAACATATGTATTACCGTATTGCCTATTGTCAATACACCCTTCAAAGTCAAGTTATCTATTTTTCAAGTCTAATATGAAATAAGCACTGCCTATAAGCGAGCGCACATAGTTCGGTAATCTTTGTGATGAGTGTAGATCTCGGGCGCCTGCAGCGCCCCAGCTAATGGCTTTACAGGTAACGTAACAAAACGAACAGAATCCATCCTTAGGACAAAGGTGCGTCAAATATACTGACATGAAAAAGAAATAAATGGTGGTTATAAAAAATAGTATCTTAATTAAGAAAACCTTCCAGATATTTCATGTAGGCCTTTTTTATTGTTACGAATTTACTATTATTTCAACACCTTTGTCAATATATCGCCTGATCCCCGGTTAAATAGCATCAAAATTTGTCAAGACAAAATGACAGAAATAGGATCTACTTTGCAAAGAAAATATTTGTTAAAAAGGCAAAGTATTGCAATGCAATCCATAGTCCATAGGTGGTGGGCACGTCTATCAAAAAAAAAAAAAAATGAATATATAAAACTAGTTTTATATATATATTTTTTTTTTTTTTGATAGACGTGCCCACCACCTATGCATAGTCCCTCACCGGTAGGACCTAAGAATTGCTATCTTTAACAAACAGTAAACTTATGTCAGGAAGCATAGGTCACAGTGAGGTTATAGTGATCTACTTCACTCCTCTATCCCAAGATGTCCTTGTTCTTCAAATTAGGTTACTCAGGGTGAAATAGTATAGAATATATGCCCTGGACAAACATTTTTAAATGCAAAGGTCAAAGGTCAAATCATTGATCACAATGACCTAATTATGTACACTCTGACATCCCAAGATGTCCTTAAGCTTGTACACCAATTATCTAGTTACTCCAGGTAAAAAAGTATATAAGATATGCCCGGGACAAACATTTTCAAAAGTAAAGGTCAAAGGTCAAGTCATATATCACAGTAACCTAAACCTTGCACACCAAATCTGGTTACTGCATGTGAAATAGTATAGATGATATGCCCCAGGACAAATATTTTCAAATGTAAAGGTCAAAGCATAGGTCACAGTGAGGTCATACAACTGGAGTGACCTTCTAAATTCTTGCACTGTGCACGCTGCCATCCAAAGCTGTTGTTGTTCACCAAATCTGGTTACCCCAGGTGAAATAGTATAGAACATATGTCCCTGACAAACTTTTCTGACGGACGGACAGAGGGGGTGCAAACCTAGCCCCCCTCCCCAA